GTATAAAACGACCCAGCGCTCTGCATCATGTCACACCATGCAGAGAAAAAAGGTATTTATGGAACAACAGAGCTCTGGCTTGATATTCTGTTATATCATAGCCATCCTCTTAAAACAATTGGGAAAATATTATTTTCTTTTCCTGTATTGACAACAAAATTATTGAACATTGCTAGAGTTATTACAAAAATGCTGTACATTAACATGTTGACCTTTTAAGTGGCATGTTGTCACAATGACCATGTTGTTTATTGACACTGATTTTAGAATCATTTTGTACAAAATATGAAAATTTGATCTAAAACAATAATATTGAGATTTTACGGTGCCCGTAAATGGTACATGGAGGTGGATTTTTTTTAATGCTTTTGCGTAAAATTTTGCGCTTGGTCACAAAATATTTTCAATCTCCCGAGAAAGTTTGCATTTGAGAAACACATTTGCACATCAGCAAAACACATTTGCTAAAGGATTGAATTTGCATTGACATAATTGTTCCTCTGATGTCATATTTTTTCCATCACCATGCCTATTTAGGGGCTCCGTATGAATTAATAATAATAAAAACAATAAATAAATAAATTTTTAAATGTTCATATTAAATATTAATTAGAATATAGTACAGTAAAACAAATTATTAAATAAGAATTCATAAAAAAATGAATATTTTAATTGTAAATACATTTTATAAATTGTATACAACATAAAACAATGAGGTGGTTTGCACCAAAATGCATCTAATTCATTATGGTTCTCCTCGTCTGTAACTCAAACCAAATAATTGATGTCTTTTATAATCCTTAGGTGCCTCTGTGCACACGAAACAGATCCCCACAGGAAACCACAGTTCATTTGCAAGCACAGAGGGGGTGTTGAGAGGAGGTGAACAGGAGACCTTATGGCCCAGAACCAATAAACCCTAAAATCAAGCCGTCACCACTCAACACTCCAGAAAAAAAAAGTCTGTTACTCCTCTTAACTCAGTTGAAAGGCCTGCACAGTGATCCCAAACAAAACGAGTGTGTGTGTGTGTGTGTGTGAGTGTGTATGTGTGAGACCAAGCATCTGCGTGCAATGGATGCCAAATTAAATCATTGTTTTCAGGCAGGCAGAACCATTGAAGAGCCTCAATCAGGAAGTCGAAGGTTTCACAAGTGACTTCATCAAAGCCTTTGTCGCAAGGTTCAAGGCCAATTATGTGCAATGCATGCGGGGTTTTCAGACAGTGGACACTTTGTGCCATTGGTCTCGAACGAGCAATCCGAGAATGGAGGGCCCCTTTTGCTTGATGGCAGACTTAGATAAATGTACTGACGATTCTAGAAACTATCAAAGCTGACATTAATCTGAGGTCATGACCTGGATATCCAAAACATCTCTTACACCATTACATCATTTTTTTCACAGCTCAGCTCTGTAATCACCTTCAGGCTGAATGCTAATGAAAATTATGGCTTATTCTTCCCCCGAAAGTGCAGTTCCTAGGTCAGATTTGCCTTTTGGCGTGTGATGACTCAGACCGTGTGGTGAGAGGATCGAGTTGACCTCAGACAAGTGTGTGCCTGCCTCATAATTCAGAGTGAGACAGAAACAGATGCATTAATCTCCATTAGTGCAGATGGGGAGGTAATCCTCAACTCCTCAATGGTGTGAGCGGGCATATGCTCGGAGCGCCTTCAGTTTCTGCTCGGTTCAGAACCACAGCATCAACACCTCCATGAAGGCTCATACAAGGGGTGTAAGTGAGCTGAACAGGTGTGGATTATTGATCTATAGCTTGCGAGATGTTTGCACTCAAATCTATAGCTTTTTTAAGTTCTATATGGAAACACATGCATCAGCTACACACTTGGAAATAAATATATGGTTATGATTGATGATGTCATCACTAGAGCTGGGCTAATGTCCAATGGATCTCAAACTCGCCGTATTCAGGATTGACCACTGTTTTACTAACTTCGCTATTCCACTGAGTGGTACGGCTCGGTACGGGACGACACGGCTCGGTTCGCTTTGGCTCGGTTGTTTTTCCACTGCAGTTAGTACTGCTTTAAAGTGGATGGGATTAGTTTAAAAGCAGTCGCTATAGCGGTGGCTGTTACTGGCTATTTAAATCTAGCGGGTTTGGTTTCTCACGTCCCAAATACAATGACGCTGGTAGTGACGATTCTGTCTGACCAATCAGTGATCTGCAGGGTTTCACAGCACATTTTAGTACTGTTATGGTACGCTTGGAACCTCAACAGACCTCAACAACCTAAAGCGAGCCGTACCATACCCTACCATGCAGTGGAAATGTGCTATAAGTGAGCCAAGCCGTACCGTACCATGCAGTGGAAAAGCGCCAAAGCGTGCCGTATCCAACGGAGCCATACTGTACCATGCAGTGGAAAAGTGCCAAAGCGAGCCATAGCAAATGGAGCAGTACCGTACTATGCAGTGGAAAAGCGCCAAAGTGAGCCATAGCAAATGGAGCAGTACCGTACCATGCAGTGGAAAAGCGCCAAAGCGTGCCGTACCGAACCGAGCCATACAGTGCCATGCAGTGGAAAAGTGCCAAAGCGTGCCGTACCGAACCATACCATGCCATGCTGTGGAAAAGCGCCAAAGCGTGCCGTACCGAACCGAACCGTACCATGCAGTGGAAAAGCGCCAAAGCGTGCCGTACCGAACCGAACCGTAAAAAGTACCATGCAGTGAAAAGCGCCAAAGTGTGCCGTACCGAACCGTACAGTACCATGCAGTGGAAAAGCGCCAAAGCGTGCCGTACCGAACCGAGCCATACCATGCAGTGAAAAGCGCCAAAGCGTGCCGTACCGAACCGAACCGTACCATGCAGTGGAAAAGCGCCAAAGCGTGCCGTACCGAACCGTACCATGCCATGCAGTGGAAAAGCGCCAAAGCGTGCCGTACCGAACTGTACAGTACCATGCAGTGGAAAAGCGCCAAAGCGTGCCGTACCGAACAAAGTCATACCGTACCATGCAGTGGAAAAGCGCCAAAGCGTGCCGTACCGAACAAAGCCGTACCATGCAGTGGAAAAGTGCCAAAGCATGCCGTACTGAACTGTACCGTACCATGCAGTGGAAAAGTGCCAAAGCGTACCGTACCGAACCGAACCGAAACGTACCATGCAGTAGAAAAGCGCCAAAGCGTGCCGTACCGAACCGAGCCGTACAGTACCATGCAGTGGAAAAGCGCCAAAGCGTGCCATACCGAACCGAACCGTACCGTACCATGCAGTGGAAAAGCGCCAAAGTGTGCCGTACTGAACCGAACCGTACCGTGCCATGCAATGGAAAAGCACCAAAGCGTGCCGCACCGAACCGAGCCGTACCATGCAGTGGAAAAGCGCCAAAGCGCGCCGTACCGAACCGAGCCGTACCGTACCATGCAGTGGAAAAGCGCCAAAGCGTGCCATACCGAACCGAACCGTACCGTACCATGCAGTGGAAAAGCGCCAAAGCGTGCCATACCGAACCGTACCGTACCATGCAGTGGAAAAGCTCCAAAGTGTGCCGTACTGAACCGAACCGTACCGTGCCATGCAATGGAAAAGCACCAAAGCGTGCCGTACCGAACCGAGCCGTACCGTACCATGCAGTGGAAAAGCGCCAAAGCGTGCCGTACCGAACCGAGCCGTACCGTACCATGCAGTGGAAAAGCGCCAAAGCGTGCCGTACCGAACCGAGCCGTACCGTACCATGCAGTGGAAAAGCGCCAAAGCGTGCCGTACCGAACCGAGCCGTACCGTACAGTGGAAAAGCGCCAAAGCGTGCCGTACCGAACCGAGCCGTACCGCACGATGCAGTGGAAAAGCGCCAAAGCGTGCCGTACCGAACCGAACCATACCGTACAGTGGAAAAGCGCCAAAGCGTGCCGTACTGAACCGAACCGTGCCATGCAGTGGAAAAGCGCCAAAGCGTGCCGTACTGAACCGAACCGTACCGTGCCATGCAATGGAAAAGCACCAAAGTGTGCCGTACTGAACCGAACCGTACCGTACCATGCAGTGGAAAAGCGCCAAAGCGTGCCACACTGAACCTGTTGCTGCCCTGTTGCTGTATGTCTGTGTTGAAAGTGATAGATAGGATAACAGACAGACCACACCTGATCAATGGGTGATGGGATATTTTCAGGAAAAGAAAATTTCCTGTAGAATTACTCTTTAAAGGGGGAAATAGGTGAACTAATTGCTTTTGCAGTCTTTCAGTCCACCAGGCAATGAAATAGCTAAAACTCACAACCAGAGGCATGAAAGGCCCGTGCGTGAAGCAGGATTAAAGCGTCTTAGTGTCACTGTCAGCTCTACGCATTTGAATAAAAAAAAAACGGAGACGGATATAAATAGGTCTCGCTGCAGATGGATGAATTAGGTTTTATTCATGCCACAGCCTTCAGGGCCTTGAAAGGGGACAATGACGAAAGGAAAAAGAGCCCTAAATAATGGCACAAACATAAAAGGCTGTAAAAAACAATTTGAGGTATTTTCTTCAACTACTCCATATCACAGGAACACACTAGAGTGAGTCTCAGTTTAACAAGCATAGATACACCCCTCGTCGTTCACGGGAGCAACATTTTTCCAAAGAGACTTGCGGTGGCATGTAACTCCGTATCTTCAATGGTGTCCTTGCTATAGCAAAAGGGATGTCAGAAAATCAATCATGCGCTCAGTGGGGGAACCCCTGAAATTTTAGCAGTGCTGATTGGCAGAAAAAAAAAAAAAGACTTCACAGAAGCAGACAACTGAACTCTGAGAATATAGGGACCATCTGGCTGAGGTTTGGTTGGAAGGAACGCTTTGATAGAAAGAGCAGAACTATTTTCAGGGAGGGAAAAGAGATAATGTTAGAGCTTTTGGAAGGAGAGAATTCGGTTGGGAGAAGTCAGCAAGACTATTGAGACATTTCAGCTGAAACTTGTCAACACTAAAATTGAACAGTAAGTTAAAAAAAAAAAAAAAAACAGCTGAATGTGTCCTCTATATTTGTACTTACCAAACTGTCCACTCCCGCCAGTGTGTGATTGGCATTATAGAGGGAATAGGTCAGCTGATACACCCCATCATTGGTTTCACTGTTTCCATAGAAACCAACTCCCACAGCAACACTGAAAAGTCAAAAGGTGAAAAGATAAAATTAATTGTAATCATCAGGCCATCACAGAGGTGCACATGCAGAAATCCACAGAGGGATTTCCACAGATCTGGAACACCGGTCATTCAAAGGTTTACACTCTTGTATGATTTTTATTAAATGTCTTGGCTGGTTTTATCATGCTTTTAGCTTGGCGTGCACATTTTACCACGTTAAAACCAAAACAAAATAACAGCTGAAAATGACGGCTAAAAATGGTTATATCAAAGCTGAAGACTTTGATAAAACCACTCGATTCATATGGATTTAGTTTTGGGTGAACAGACTTTCAAATGGACAAACAGAAATCTCTCAGATTTTGTTAAAATATTATAATTTGTGTTCTGTAGATAAACAAATGATTTATGGGTTTGGAACAACATGAGGGTGATTTTAACAAAAGTAATTTTAAATATAGCTGCAAGCAGCAATGCAGGGGCCAAGCCCGGAAGCAGCAGCAACTCCGACATTTGGAAAAAAAAAACTGTTGGGTCAGTAGTACAAGTGAAAATAACCTCAAAATTAAGATTTTTTTAATATATAAATTTGCTGCATGTTATATTTTTGGAAGTCCTTTCTCAGACAGACACCATGTCTAGAACTGAAACAACTTTTCCACCACTTATTGCCACAGTACCTCTTGCGGTCTGGGCATGTGCCACACAGGATTCGAACCCACGACCGCAATGGTTCGGGATTCGTGACACGTGGTTTAGCAGCTTGCGCCACACAGAAGACGCAAATAATTGAGCTGCAGAGGAGAGCCTTCAGTATAAGAATAAGCACACAAAATCATGTTAACGCGATTAGCATGCTAAGCTAGCTCAATGCTAACGTAGCTTATGGTTATCCTGATAGCTGAAGAGCCGCATTCAAAAGAATTGCACCTGGTTAGCATGCTAAACAATTATTATGCTAAGCTAACTAGCATAAGGTAACTAACACAGGCTAGGTCAACTTTGGAGACAAATATCTCTCAAACGATAGCGAATATCAAAAATTTGTTCAGTCATTTCTGTGCGGCTCGGTCCAAAGATTATGTGACCAAATTTTGGACAAATTCGAGCAAGATTTGAAGGAGGAGTAGCGAAAAAATGTTTTTTCATTTGCTCCAATATGGCGGACAGTCACATTGTTGGAAAATGAAAAATGAGACATCGGTGGAATTGTTATAAGCCAAGGAACATATTGACATGAAGAAATTACATTTTGAACAATATTTGCAAAAGTTATAAGCGTCTTTACAAAAAACCTTATAACTTTGGAACACTAGGTGGCGCTGTGATAAAACTTCTCATGTACCTTCAGGGCATGCTAATGATGATCCATGCCAAATTTGGTCAAGAAATTTCAAAGAGGTTTAAAGATATTGCAAATTATGACAAAATTCAAAATGGCGGACACGAGGTACAGCCCATCATGTCAAAATCGATATCCACGGATTCGGCATGATCCAAGGAATCCATAGATACCACATTTATGATTTTCTGAAAAACTGTTCAAAAGTTATTGGCCAAAATAGCCATTTTTCATATCTCATGACCCGTAGGTGGCGCTATTCCCAACTTTGGTATGAATCCTCAGAACATGCTTCCGATGAAGCGTACCAATTTTCGTTTCGATTGATTCAATTTTGGCCGAGATACAGCCTCTTAGGCAATTTTGGGTGGACCTCGTTAAGTTTGCGACACCATAACTTTTGAACAAAGATGAATAAAAAAAATCTGTTCAGTCATTTCTGTGCGGCTCAGTCCGAAGATCATTTGAGCAAATTTTGGACAGAATTGGACAAAATTTGAAGGAGGAGTAGGGAAAAAACTGAATACTGTACATTTCAAAATGGCCTCTACTGTAATGGGCGGGGTCTTAATGTAAGGTATTGGTTGTGATCAGCATGATGAGAGGAATCAGGTGTACTAAGTTTCATGTCTCTAGAGCAAAGGGTTCAAAAGTTATAACCATTTCAATGTTGAATTTTTGAACTGGTGGTGGCGCTATAGAGTTGGTCCTAGAGGGTCAAAAATTGGACCAATTACTAATAATTACCATCACTACAAGTGTGCCAAATTTCAACATTTTCCTACTTACGGTTCATAGGGCTGCCATAGACTTCCATTTACGGAATAATAATAATAATAATAATAATAAATATAGCTGCAAGCAGCAACACGGGGCCAAGCCCAGCAAGGCGCAGCAAGCAGACCAAGCACAGAGCCAGTACAGCAGTGCAGCAGGCATTTAAGCACCAAGAGCAGTGCAGAGCCGCAAGAACAAAAACAGCACAAATTGAATACACATGTAAATGAAGCACAAACAGCAGTGCAGAGCAGGAAGGAATTGAAAACTTATTACACAATTTTAAAGTCGCCCCACGTGGGACTCGAACCCACAACCAGAGTGGTTCAGTATTGGAGATACATGGTTTAACATATTGCGCCACTCAGAGGTTGTGGATTTCAAAGCAGCAGGGGAGAGGGTTCAGTGTGAGAATGATTCACAAAAAAGTTCCATGACATGTTATCCAGATTAGCATGCTAAGCTAGCTCAGTTCTAATGTATCTTATGACTTGGTGCATCCAATCGTGGCAAAATGCATATCCTCTGATTTGACAGGACGCAGGGAATCAATAGATACCAATTTTATGATTTTGTGACAAACTGTTCACAAGTTACAGCTTCTGATCCATCTCTGGGTCAACCTTGTTCATTTTGCGACATCATAACTTTTTTTTTCCCCATATTGCAAAAAAAACGGGAACAGTACTTTTATGCGGCTCGGTCCGAAGATCATTTGTGTGCATGTTTGGAGAAAATTGGACAAAATTTGAAGGAGGAGTAGCGAAAAAACTGTTTCCCATTCGCTCCAATATGGTGGCCAGTCACATTGTTCAAAAGTAACATATGAGATATCGTTGAAATCGGCATAACCCAAGGAATATTTTGACATATAGAAATCAAATTTCAAGCAATATTAGCAAAAGTTATAAGCGTTTTTTCAAAAAACAATGATATCTCTGGAACAATAGGTGGCGCTGTTCCCAACTTTGGCATGGAACCTCAGAACATGCTTCCGATGAAGCATACCAATTTTCGTTTCGATTGATCAAACTTTGGCCGAGATACAGCCTCTTAACCAATTTTGGGTGGACCTTGTTAAGTTTGCAAAAGCATAACTTTTGAAGAATGAAAAAAAAAAAAATCTGTTCAGTCATTTCTGTGCGGCTCAGTCTGATGATCATTTGAGCGCATGTTTGGACAAAATTGGACAAAATTTGAAGGAGGAGTAGCGAAAAAACTGAATACTGTACATTTCAAAATGGCCACTACTGTAATGGGCGGGGTCTTAATGTAAGGTATTGGTTGTGATCAGCATGATGAGAGGAATCAGGTGTACTAAGTTTCATGTCTCTAGAGCAAAGGGTTCAAAAGTTATAACCATTTCAATGTTGAATTTTTGAACTGGTGGTGGCGCTATAGAGTTGGTCCTAGAGGGTCAAAAATTGGTCCAATTACTATTCATTAGCATCACTACAAGTGTGCCAAATTTCATCATTTTCCTATGTACGGTTCATAGGGCTGCCATAGACTTCCATTGGCGGAAGAATGAGCAAATTGTTATTTTGACAATAACAATTGCTAATATAGCTGCAAGCAGCAACACGGGGCCAAGCCCAGCAAGGCGCAGCAAGCAGACCAAGCACAGAGCCAGCACATCAAGTACAGCAGTGCAGCAGGCATTTAAGCACCAAGAGCAGTGCAGAGCCGCAAGAACAAAAACAGCACAAATTGAATACACATGTAAATGAAGCACAAACAGCAGTGCAGAGCAGGAAGGAATTGAAAACTTATTACACAATTTTAAAGTCGCCCCACGTGGGACTCGAACCCACAACCAGAGTGGTTCAGTATTGGAGATACATGGTTTAACATATTGCGCCACTCAGAGGTTGTGAATTTCAAAGCAGCAGGGGAGAGGGTTCAGTGTGAGAATGATTCACAAAAAAGTTCCATGACATGTTATCCAGATTAGCATGCTAAGCTAGCTCAGTTCTAATGTATCTTATGACTTGGTGCATCCAATCGTGGCAAAATGCATATCCTCTGATTCGACAGGACGCAGGGAATCAATAGATACCAATTTTATGATTTTGTGACAAACTGTTCACAAGTTACAGCTTCTGATCCATCTCTGGGTCAACCTTGTTCATTTTGCGACATCATAACTTTTTTTTTTCTCATATTGAAAAAAAAACGGGAACAGTACTTTTATGCGGCTCGGTCCGAAGATCATTTGAGTGCATGTTTGGAGAAAATTGGACAAAATTTGAAGGAGGAGTAGCGAAAAAACTGTTTCCCATTTGCTCCAATATGGTGGCCAGTCACATTGTTCAAAAGTAACATATGAGATATCGTTGAAATCGGCATAACCCAAGGAATATTTTGACATATAGAAATCAAATTTCAAGCAATATTAGCAAAAGTTATAAGCGTTTTTTCAAAAAACAATGATATCTCTGGAACAATAGGTGGCGCTGTTCCCAACTTTGGCATGGAACCTCAGAACATGCTTCCGATGAAGCATACCAATTTTCGTTTCGATTGATCAAACTTTGGCCGAGATACAGCCTCTTAACCAATTTTGGGTGGACCTTGTTAAGTTTGCAAAAGCATAACTTTTGAAGAATGAAAAATAAAAAAAATCTGTTCAGTCATTTCTGTGCGGCTCAGTCTGATGATCATTTGAGCGCATGTTTGGACAAAATTGGACAAAATTTGAAGGAGGAGTAGCGAAAAAACTGAATACTGTACATTTCAAAATGGCCACTACTGTAATGGGCGGGGTCTTAATGTACGGTATTGGTTGTGATCAGCATGATGAGAGGAATCAGGTGTACTAAGTTTCATGTCTCTAGAGCAAAGGGTTCAAAAGTTATAACCATTTCAATGTTGAATTTTTGAACTGGTGGTGGCGCT